GCTCTCTGCTTTAAGGAACTGTGGCACCTCTGTATATCTCTTCTATTTTCTTTTCCACGTGATAAGGATGAATGGATTCAAGGCCTGCAATCTGGGAACAGACTTCCTATCTCTCTCTTTTTGCAAGTGTCATAGTGCAAAGGAAATCGCCTCCTATCCCTTTGGGTTCTTCTTGGGTAGACAAGTAATCAAACAACAATCAGATGGGTTAGTAAAGGAAAAATCCATAAATGGAGAATTTACATGTTTATAAATTCTAAGGGAATAATGGCATAACCTGGGATATTTATGTTGTGTTTAGGAACCTGGGACATCAATAGGTAGGGGAACTTTACATAACAATAATGGGGTGTCCTCATCCCTGCTGTGAAAGTAAAGATGAGAATCTTAAAGATCTGTTCATTGATAAACCTACAACTAGATAATACCTTCCCCACCCCCACAGCTACCCCCGCCAAACTACACTCTTCTAGGTCATACAAGGGAAAACAGTGATTTCTTCTCTAATTAAGAAAATGAAGCTTAGGATACAATGATCTCTTTTTCAGTTAGGAAGAACAAAGAACTTAGACAAGAACTTAAACAAGGATGTCTCCTCAGCCTCAAGGGATTTTCATTGCTCTTAGTTCAAAATGATCTGCCCATCAGAATGGGTCATTTTAAAGAGACCATTTCTGAGAATCTTGGGATGTTCTGACCTGGGATCCTTTATTGGCATGCTTTTTGTATAATTGTTCAATTTCCTGTACCTTGCAACTAGCCAAATGAATTCTATGTGATGAAGGCAGAGATTCCACTTAGATATAAAGCCTAAAACACATGTTTCACTCTAGCATTATCAGAGTTCTGTGCTGGGGAAGTATTGAGCCCTGACACAGATATCACCATAATGGCATTGTGATTTTTTCATATGCCACTGTTTTTGGTGTATCTCTCCCCAGAGCACATGGAATGCAGGACAGTGAAAGAACAACTGGCTGGAATATAGCAACTGGCTGGAATAATATAGCAACCCCACCACAATGCCATCCTAAGTTCCTGTAAAAGTTCCTTACTCTTCATAGGTAAGTCGTTAGGTATGACTTGTAAGTGGAAAATAACAATGTGTCAGCATCTCTCTAAATATTCCTTAGCAATCAAGTTAGCAGAAACTCCTTACTCATGAAGGAAAATTGAGATGAGTAATGACATCCTTACAGGGGACTGGAATAGTATTCTCTGCTATAGAAGAAGAGTCAACGTCTCCCTAAGAAGAAAAGGAATATGAAGACCACTCTACAAGCAGAGCTCAGGACTTGATCTATGAACTTGCCCTGTGCTACTTTGGCTTAGCATAACAGAAACTAGACCTGATTTAAAGCATTTCCTCCAATACATTTACCTCCATTGATCCCTGACCCATGTGGTACTAATCTGTCCCTGGATAAGCACCTAACCTTACAAGTTTGCTTACTTTCCCCTTCTTCAGCAAGTCTCTCTCAACCTCTTTTTCCTACTCACTTTCTTCCTTCAAAAATTAGGCAAGACTCATATTTTGAGGGTAGCCTAAATTGAAGGGACCATCCATTTTCAATTAATTAAAACTAAAAATAAATTTGTTGATTTGAAAATGTAAACAGTAATTCCTGTTTACAATGTACAGAAATCCTCCCAGTTTAAAGCCACTGTAGTTTATAAAAATAATCCAATCTATGTAGACAATTCTTTTGAGTAATGAAGCATGGTAGCAGTATTTATCAAAGTAAGAAAAGTTAAAGAATTGCTGTAATTAAGAAGATTGTCTACCTAACATCTTATTATATAGAAAAAACTATTTTAGTACTTTTCCTCTTTTCATTTGTTGGCATGTGACCTTATTCCAGAATCAATGCAAAAGACTCAGTCCGCTACTGTGTCCATATAAAGAACAGCAAAGACTGTACTTCAGTGTATACAACGTCTACCTTCCACTTGTATAAAAAAAAATTATATGTAAGAAATGTGATTACCCATGTGAATAGTTGGTTTTCAGAATTCAAGTTAAATATTATTATAAAATGTTATTCTATTTTTTCTTTTCCTTCTTCTTAAGTAGTAAAATGATTTTCCAAGGCCAATTCCTGTAAGTAGTATTATTTATCATTGTAAAACATGTTTCATTGCCTGGAGTCACAGAATATGTTTTTATATGCCTTGATTTTATTACTTTTAATCTTATCATTATCCTTTAATTTTATCCTAACCCACTTTATTTCACTTTAACAGGAATTATCATATGATAAAGAGTATTGTTCAAGAGTAGTTTTCTCAAACAAAATGAACCATTTTCTAAGTCAGTCCCTGAAAATATTACCTAAAATAATACAGTGATCAATTATATAAATAAGGAAATATTCTATTATACAAGCATATACTTATGGATTTTTTTAATATTGTTTTTCCTTCCGATTATTTCTGTCAGATTTCAGGTCATCTCATTTATGATAAGTCCCCCTTCCATCAATTGAAAAAAAATGTTTAAACCTAAAATCTGTGGGAAAATACTTTTAATAGAATATCTAAATTTTTTTTTTTTTGGTCATTTTAAGGGACCTGTGTAGTGCTACCCTTCATCTTATAGAGGGGGAAACTTACAGATTTTATAGATGAGATTCTGAATCATAAAACCATTTGCTCAGAATAGCTCTGCTATTAAGTGGCAGAAGCAGAGTTGTGTCAGTTGGAAGTTGAATATTTAACTTGGCATAAAATTCAAATTTATCTGTTTTGGTGATCGTGAGCTATTCTTAAAAGTTTTAAATAAAAGACATTGATTGAATGAGATGAGTACATAGATTATGTGAACTTTATTGTGATGTTTAAAAAATATTTAATTTTGCCAAACTATCTTATAATAATAAACACACAAAACATTAAAATGGGCATTAAACTCAATTTTATTGATTAAAATACATGTATTTCATACATAAAATATGTAAAGGCATGATTATTTTTCCCTAAAATGTTTATCAATTGCCAACAAGTCAGATGTTCCCTCACATTTGTGGCCTTTTATACAATTGTAACAAACATTTCAGAGGAGATCATCTAAATCTAGATTAGGAATCCTGGTTTAGTGTCTCACTTATTTCCATTCTCCCTAGACTTTGCTTTCTGTGGGTGGGATTGGAAATTCAATGCTGTAACTTTTGCTTTCATGATATGGTCTCCAGATGGCTCACTAAAATGTATTCCATCACCTTGAGGTTATTCAAGTTTCCTCCAAAGCAGAACTGGAGGTGAGGGACAAACATGCAAGCACCTAAAATAGCTTGTTTGAGGATGTAAATAATCATGTATATTAGAGTCTATGGTGGAATTATATTTTTAGAAATAAAAACATGGATGTTAACAAAAGAGAAATAAATGTTTAGCATCTTTGGATGTCTTTTGGACTTTTTGTCATGTTCACCAAAATTTGCATTTAGGGAAGACACAATTCCTGGTTCACGTTCCTCAGGAGTTCTGGCTGGCGTATCCTCTCTTCAATAGTAGCAAAGGGTTATATCCCCAAAGACTTTGAATTAACTTTTGGTAAAAGTAAAAGGTATCTTTGAAAGGATGTACCTTTTAAAAGAGAGCAGAGCACACCATTTGAAAAATCATAGAAGTATGTCTAGTAAAATCTACTTTGATTGAACACTTATGGGGAGATTGAAAAAATTCTTTCATTTATCTAAGCAATGTTATATTTAATATTCAAATCATAGGCTTATATGATGAACAAAAGGCATATACTGAATCTGTTTTAATGAATATATTTTTAAAAACTCTTAATTCCAATGGAGTTTATAAAAATACAAAACTTAATAAAACTTTATTGTGGTAATTGTGAAATTCCAAATAACTCTGAAGACAGTCACTAAGTTACCAATGTCTATTGAGATAATTCTTAAATGCTTAAGCTTATTTAAATAAATATTTAATTAGTAAATAGTCTTTGTCTGGCCTTCAAGAGCGTCCTTTCTGCAAATCACCACATGCTCTCTAGAAAACGTAATCCATTTCTTTGTGTGCTAAACATGGTCCCTCCATTTGGTCAAATGGATTATTTATTTCAGTTTTTTCCTCCTTACTGACCCACACCCTATCTCCAAAACTTGGCCTTTTTCCCTATCACTATGGTTTTACAATTAATCTTCCCACTTGTAATATTTTTTCACATTCATTTATAGGGTTCCTGTCTTTAATTTTTAACTCCTCTTTGAAAGATGTACCATTTTCGTCCATTCCAGATCTTCATTCATGCCAGTTTTTAGCAGTTTGTTAAGTTGTATTTGTTGATATATTGTATTGAAATAAATGCTGTCAGTCTTTTCATATGTTTACATTGCATCTTCCAAAGGAAATTATATACTCTTTAACAAACTGTCTTTAAATCGGCACAAAATGTGTGATAGCCATAGAAATTGTGTCAGTGAGGTGAGGTGAGATGATGAAGAAGGCACCCTATGTGTCTCTTACAACATATATGCAACTTAATTTAAAAAATCAAGCAGGATGGAGTTGTTGGAGTTCATATGAAGCTAGATGTTGTTTTGAGTTAATTTTTAATTCTCAAACAGATTAGCCAGAAAGCTTCACTTGAGTAACAAAGCCTGTATACGGTACAACTCATGGTAAACTTGAAAATACATAGACAGATGTGATGTAAAATTTAAATTCATGCTATACGTTTACGATAACTCCTACGAGTAATTAAAAATAATTAGAGCTTTATAAAATACGTACGTATGGGAGGTGATGTGTCTGGGGGTTGGAGAGCAGGGGGGTGGGGAAGGAGTGGAGAGAGGTCTTTAGTTAGGCTAAGATGCCAGAGTGGCAGGGGTTGGTTTGCTTTCCATCCATCTGTGGGTCCTTGATTAGATTCAGCACGCTGGCTAGCTCCCCATCCCACCGGGTTTATTGGCCTAAGTGAAAGGAGCAGTGGGAGGAAGGGACCATCTGCTGCTTTAAATTGAATAGATAACCTAGAAGTCAGTGTGGCAGAGTTGAGGTATTAGATGTTGATGCCGCTGAGTTCTTTTTCGGCTCTCGGGGTCCCCACTCCTCAACCCCAATCCTCCAGCGAGCCAGAATGGAAGAAGAGTTAGGCAACCAGAAACCCTTCTGTTTCTCTGGTAGGTTCACCTCAGCAGCAAATACTCTCAGTTCTTAGTATTGAAAGCATGTTCATCATTGCTTTTGTGGATTACGCAGGGGCGGGGGCTCTACTTAAGTAGTTAAACTGCCTGGTCGATACACCTATCAGTCAAAATTTGTTTTCCTTTTATTTTAGTGAATGTGGGCGTCGGTAAAGGAAATGGCTGGAATTAGAGTGTATGCCTCAGCGCTCCAACGCCCCAGGGCTGAAGAACCTTGGAGACAGGCGATGCTCTTACCCGACTGGGATCTACCGACTTCCTCTTAGTGAGACTCAGATGTAGCGGCCCCCAAATTGAGAGCCCACTCTTTGCTGACAAGAAGTCATCGCTGGTTTGTGTATTTCTTCCTCCCCAACAACTTTTTTGCCCGCGGAAGGGGGAAGAGAGGTCGAGGCAATGGAAGCAGGGCATCCAGGAGGAAATGGTCCACAAGGGGAAGGCAGAGAGGATGATGATAACGCACTCGGGTCAGAACTGCAGCTCCGAGTCTTTGGGGACGCTCCGCGCTCTCCCCCCTCCAACCACCCTTTACGCCGCGGACACGGGAGAGTTAAGCCAATAAACACGTAAGCGCTGCTCCCTCCCCAATCGGCAAGATGCCTCTCCGGCTTTAGGCTGCATTGACAGCTTGCAACACTCGGCATCTTTTCTGGAGGCGCCTCCTTCAGCGGCTGCAGATGGCATCCGGCTGCGGGCTCGGGGCTCGCGATTGACTCTGCCCCCTGCCCACCTTGGGTGCACGGCGCACCTCTCGCTCCCTCCTCCCCTCGCGCTCCCGGGGTTAAGCCCAGCTTCCCAGCGCCGGGCGGAGGAAGCAGTCGCGGCGGCCGAGGCTGAGCAGCAGCGCGTCGGTTCCCTGATCTGTGCAGAAGCGCCCATCCGGGAAAGCCGACCCCCCAGCTGCCTCCTGCGCCCCCCACCTTTTGCGCCCCAAGCCGGGGACTCCGGGAACCCCCCGCCCCAGGCGCCACCATGCTGGACCCTTCGTCCAGCGAAGAGGAATCGGATGAGATCGTGGAGGAGGAGAGCGGCAAGGAGGTGCTCGGCTCGGCCGCGTCCGGCGCGCGCCTGTCTCCCAGCCGCACCAGCGAGAGCTCGGGCGGCGGCGCCGGGCTGGGGGGGCGGCGGGGCCGGGGCCGGGGTGGGCGCCGGCGGCGGCGGGGGCAGCGGCGCTGGCAGCGGCGGCGGGGCCGGAGGGCTGCAACCCAGCCCCCGAGCCGGTGGCGGCCGGCCCTCCAGCCCCAGCCCGTCGGTGGTGAGCGAGAAGGAGAAGGAGGAGTTGGAGCGGCTGCAGAAGGAGGAAGAGGAGAGGAAGAAGAAGCTGCAGCTCTATGTGTTCGTGATGCGCTGCATCGCCTACCCCTTCAACGCCAAGCAGCCCACCGACATGGCTCGCCGGCAGCAGAAGGTAAGCGCGCCCGGGAGGCCCTGGGAGCCGCTCCAGGACGGCACCAGGCGGGCGGGGCGAACAATGGGAACTGGCGGCGCAGCTGACGAAGTGGAGCAGGAGGAGGAGGAGACCGCGCCCTGGGGAAGGGGCTGCGGGGCTCCCTCTCCACGGCCGGGCCCAGCCCGGAGGGAGCCTGGAGAGGCCCGGGACGCGGACGGGGCCTGGCACGCAGCGCCGCGCGCCCGGGCCTCCCTTCCTGGCGCGCCGGGGAGCCAGAGGCGCAGGTCCTGTTTGTGGCCCGGAGGTCTCGGGAGGGACTTGCAGCCCGCGGCGCCCTGAGAGGCCTGGCTCGTCCGCCGGGTTCCCAGGACTCTCCCGCGGCGGGCGGCGGCGCTCGGCTCCGGACCCGCCCTCCTGGGCGTGCGCTCGGCGGGCGGAGGCACCTGCGGGTGGGGGCCGCGGTGCGGAGCGACTAGAGCGCCTCCGAGTCGCGCCGGGCTGGCCGGGGCAGAGAACTACCGCAGGGGCGGGCGGGGGGAAGCCCGCTCCGGAGGCGAAGCTGCCAGCGACTCCGTGAAGGGCACCCTCCGCCTCCGGCCGGGGTCAGCTGATCCCTGACCAGGGTCGCCTGAGGGTCTTCCGACGCGGCTTCGCGCTGGACCCTGGCTCCCTCCAGCTGCCCTTTCCTTGCTCACTGACCCTGGAGCTGGGGCGCGCCCTCTGGCTCCAGTGCCAGTGTGAGTTCCTCCACCTTCCTCTCTGACCCTCTCCTCCTCCCAAGGTGACTTCGCCGCCACCTTCTGGCTCTCTGAGGCCCTCCAAGCCCTGTGGCTGCTGACTTGATAAAGTGCAGCTGCAAAAAGCCTCGCAATTATAAGCATCAAAAAAGCTGCTTGTGTCGAAGGCTGGGGCAAGGCTGAGGCGGTTCCGGGCTGCCTTTGATGTGGAAAACAAAACAAAAATAAACGCCTGTTTCAATCAGCAGTTCCCCAGGAGGGGGAGTGGTTACTGCGGGGTGAGTGGCAGCGGCCAAGGGGTCAGGGACCCAGAAGAGCGAGTTAGTGAAGAAACCTTCTTTCTCTCCTCTTACTTAAATTGATCTGCAGCACCTGAGCTATCAGAAAAGCCAGTAAAGAGGGGTGGTGTAACCCCATCAGGGTTATGAGGCCAGTCTCTTAAAATAGTGAATTTCTCCGTTGCTGCCTTTTAAAACTGAATTACATGTTACTGTAGTAGTAGAGTGTTGGGTTTTCCTGTATTTATGCACCCTTATCTTGAGTTAGCACAGATTTCTTTGTTTGTTTTGCTTGTATGTGTACACACGCACCCCATCGCCGGTGATTTATTTCAGCTATCACGAGCTTAGGGATCAGTTTGATTAAAAGTAAAACTAATTTCCTGGTTGAGAAATAGGTGGATTAAACACTTCACTCTGAACTGCTACAGTGGCTTCTTGTTTTTCTCAACCTGTGCTTTGGAGTATATACAGTGAAAGTATTGGAGCAAAAGTATTCTCAGAGTAGCAAAAGTTTCCTTAGTTCTTTGCATATACCTTTCAGTTTGGGTATTATGTCCTCAAAATATGATTTTTCAAGCTTTTGCTTGAAATTATGATGGTGATTTGTGTCTTTATAGGAGGGAAAATTCCAACTCCAAAATTACTCCATTAAAACCAACCAAAGACATTCTATTCTTTTGGCAGTGAAAACTGAGGAAAAAATTAAATTTTTTTAAAAAAAAATTTTCTTCAGTTGTGACCTGAAGAAAAAATTAAAGCAAAATGCCATTTGTCAATCCATAGGTCCTAAGTGCTCTGTCCTTTTAAACAGAGGCTAAATTCAGCTTGAGAATGAGGAAAGAAACCCATTCTCACAGAAATCCAATTTTTCTAAACCAAACCTTCAGCCACCTGACAAAGATCAGCATGAGGCTTGGTTTTTCTGATCTTATTATATATTTTACCTGGACCCATTCAAAGCTGTGGTTTTGAGGGGGCAAGTTTTCTGTTTTTCTTATGACCTAACATCAGAGAGACTCCAGGACAGCACTCCAATGTGGCATTTGGTCAAACTATTTTTAGTTATTACAGAAAACTAGTGCTAAATGCCTACTCCATAAAGCTGCCTCAGGGCAGTTGGCTATACTGGGAAACTGGATAGTTCCTAATTACAAAAGAAAACGAGATTTTCCATTGCTGTATGTTTAAGTTTTTAGTGCCTTCCTGGGAAAAGATGTTTTGCTATTTTTCTCCAAGTAGAAACATTTTAATTTCTTTTTAATGAGGGATCATTGAAAGCAACCAAAAAGTTTGCATAATCATTGTAAAATTTAAAGCCAACAAATAAGATTGATCTACTAAAATTAGTCTTGTAGAAATACAAACTAGTCGTAAACTGAACATTAGTCTGTAATAGAATAGAAATGGGTGAACTAGCAAAAGCTAAAGGAAAAAAAATAATGTAAAAAAGGGAACAGAGTGACATGGAAGGAATTGCCTGTGAAAAAGAATTGTGGAATGAGGGAAAAGGAAAGATCATATGAAGTCTTTAAGCTACATCCCTTACACAAAGTTCTGTATCAACATTGGGGGAGGGGGCTATCTCAATCATACTGGTGGAATCGAGGATTGCACAGAGTATATTGACTTTATGGAACCAAGTAGTCTATATCATAACATGGTTGTCACTTTGTAGGTACCAACTATGTACAAGACCTTTCACTTAGATTTTTTTTTAACAGGCTTATTTTTTAAGTGCTTTTAGATTGACCAAAAACTTGAAAAAATAGTACAGAGAGTTCTCATATGCCCCACACTCAATTTCCCCTGATTATTAATCTCTTAAGAGTGTTGTAATACATGTATATAATTTAAATAACAATATTGATACTTTATAGTTAACAAACCTATAGTTTTTCAAATTTCCTTAGTTTTTACCTAAATTTCTTCAATTTTAAGTCATTTTAAGTTCTCCTAGTAACCCTAACAATATAGGAGTTACTGTCCCCATTTTTCAGAAGAGATATCTGACACTCAGAGAGGTATCATAATTTGCCTAAAGCACTATATCGATAGGTGAAATGTTATAATAGGACTTGAGACATGGGAGTGTTGTGATTCCAAGTCCTGTCTTTTTGATAGGCAACACTATCTAGAAATATTCTAGAGTGAAAAATAGAATCCTAGCACCCTGACAGCCTGGCCAGTGGGCTTCTTTACCCAAGGTTATTTTTATTTGAATTCACAGAGGCTGTCCCTGGCCCTCTGAGCACCTATCAGACAGTCAACATTGGTAAAATGGGAATTGAAGTACTAGTTTCATAAAGAATTTGATGGAGAGAGGTGGGCTGTTAGCTGGTAAAGCTGAGTGTTGGACTTGTCAATCTTTCCGTGTGGTTCTAGCTGGCAAAAATGTTTTTAAGTTCATAAAAGCAACTGGAAGGAGCAGAGAAAGAAAGAGGAGGTGACTTTGCTGGACAATTCTGATAGCTAATAACTTTGGTTTCACTTTTACTGGGAAAAAGGATACCTGGGCATTCCAACAATAGTCCTCATTAAAAGAAGGGACCTTAAGCAGACTATTTGAAAATGTATTTTATCACATATAGGTATATTTTTCTTTTGCTATTGTGAATCTAAATTTAGGTATGCTGATAATGATAATATATGACCAAAACAAAAATCTAGCTACTGGACTGTCACAATGATGATTTGGAAAACAGTTCTGTGCTTTTAACTTTTCTTTTGTCAGTGTGGTAGAGTGCATAGCTAGAAGTTGGCATGGCAAAGCTACACCATATGTTTCTAGATAATATAGTAACGATGATGGGTGGCTACCTCGTCTGAACTAGCTACTTATAGATGGTACTGAGGGAATGTAGAAGCAGGCACTATAAGCAAGTCTATGTAATATTTGGATTGATATGATCAATTTTAAAAATTGGCTAGGAATTATTCATAATGTCTGGATTACAAATCTCCAAAAAGAATTTTATGTGTGCATCTAGAGAAAGGGGTGTGTGTGTGTATGTGTGTGTATGCTGAGGGAAGGAGGTAATCCTATATATGTGTCTTTTCTATATAAACTTCTATTTCATTCAAGACTAGACTAAATGTGTTGTAAGTCAGGTTACTCATCTCCATGTGATTCAGCTTATATCCTTCCATTAAATTATGGCTAACATTGAGTCACAGTTAGCCATAGAGATTCCACCCTCATTCATTTACTTGACTTTGTTATTTGGTCATGACTTAAGAGCCCATACCTTTCATAAAATTTAAGATCTGATTATATATATATATATATATATATATATATATGTATATATATATGTGTGTGTGTGTGTGTGTATGGAGTAAGTAGACTATGTGTGTGTATATATATAGAGAGGGTATATATATATATATAAATACAGTGTGTGTGTGTGTGTGTGTGAGAGAGAGAGAGAGAGAGAGAGAGAAAGAGAGAGGAGAGAGACAGACAGAGAATGTGTGTATATTTTAAATCAATAATAGTGTTCATCATTCAGACATGCTTTGAGACTTTTGGGCTAACTCTAAATGCAGCGTAGGACTTGCATTTTAAAAAAATAAATTATTTTTTCATTTTTTTAAAGATTTATTTACTCATGCACATAAGAGCTGGGGTACAGGCCAGAGATGCGGGGGGCGGGGTGTGTGTGTGTGAGAGGATTCACCAGAGACAGAGAGAGGAATAGAACAGGCAGACTGGCCAAAATACACTGCGAAGGGGAGCAGCGTGAGGGACGGGAGAGGTCTGCCTTGCCATGTGGGTTGCTCCCTGGCCAGCCAGGGATTGAACTCGTGCTGCAGAGGCTGTGGATTGCTGCATAGCGCAGTGCTTAAGCCCTTGCACCACTTGGGAGGCCCAAAAAATAAAATATTTTAACCTTTTGAGAGAACTAAAAGACTATTAAAGCAGATATCCTTCAAATCAAATTATGTGTTTCTTCATCAGAGAAAGAATTGAGTTATTTAAATGTGCTTTCTGGCATTTTTT